TAGAAGCTTCCAAGCAGGAAGAAAAAAATGTGTCATATACAAAAGATCAGGGAACAATATGGCTTGAAACTTTTCAGCAGCAGTACTGGAAGCTAGAAGCTCATGTTGGTTTAATGCCTTGGAAGATTAGAAGGACAATACTTTTCAACCTAGAAATCTTCATCCAGCCAAGCTATCAAGAAAGTGTAAGGACTGAATATAGCTTTCTTAGACATTGATGTCTTGTATATTTTTTGTTATGAAATTAACGGGAGATGTGCTCCACCAAAAGTAGGCTTTAAATGAGGGGAGAGAGGAAAACAGAGAATGGAAATACAGGCAACAGGATATCTAACCTAAGAGAGTTGTGACGGAATGAAGGGAGACCCCAGGGCAATAGCTGTGTACCAGATATGAGGGTGACTCATCCAGACTAGAGCCAGTCACAGTGCTTGGAGAGATTCCTTCAAGAAGACCCATGATGGGAAGATGGCAAGAAGGAAAGTAAGGTAGGGGCCTTCTCAGCAGAGGAGCTGTGAAAAGGAATGTTCTAACTATGGAAAATCAGGATAATGCCTAAAACTAAAAATACACTTAAATTTTTCCTTTTTTTATAATTTGAGAGATATCAAGGTAATACCAAATGAATCAGCTAAATGTTGAAAGTGATTGCCTCTGGAAATTGGGAGTGGAAGGAATAGAGAAAGACAGAAGGCTGCTATTTTTGTAGCAATCCTTGTAAATGTACTTGATTCTTAAACTATGAGTATGTATATCTTTTTGATCAAAGCCAGTTTAGATATCATGCCTAGCTCCCTCTGCAGCTGCCCACTTGGTAGTTGGCTGTGTGTTCCTTCCCAGAGAGTTGGTAGCCCCATGGCTGGTGTATGGTATATACTGCCCACAGAGCACCTCTTTGTGGTAACTGCAGCTGGCAGGCACCCCTGTCTTCTTGCCCACTACATCTCATCTCCAAAGCCAATTGCTTCCTTGTTGAATTAAACATAATTTCTCCTGTCTCATTTTGATATTGAGCATGGTTTTGAACATTTCCCTGAGTCTGGAGCTGCATGGCTCTTGACAGGAGCTGTTATGAATGCTGATGGAGTATGGAAGTATAAGGGATTTGGTGAGTGCAGGGGTGGGAGAAGCAGGAAGATGGAGGGCAGAGCCCCTGGTTGGGCGTTTTAGATTGTAGCTTGGTGTCCAGCAGTCTGGCCCTGAAGGGAGATGTTGTGCTGCTTGTCCTGACCAGCTTGTTACCTCCCCAAGTCTTGATTCTGGTGGCTGGAAGCAAACCTGACTCACCTGTTTGTCTGAGGCTCTCAGGTGGGCTTTTGGGGGTTAAGTTTCACTGCTGTGCCAGTGGGGATGGTAAGGCCCTGCAGACACCCCAGGCAGGAACTAGACTCTACTTTTCTCAAGGCTTGATCCCAACACCACCCTCTCCAGTAACCTCACTGATTCCCTTGTGGAGGAGAATTCCTTCCTTTTTTGTGCTTCCATATTTTCATATCTTGGCCATTTTAAGTGTGTGTCTCTTTCAAACTTATGTGCCTTTATGGGTTCCTGTCATGTCTCCCAAATCACTCCAAACTCAGTGGCTTAAACCAACAGCTATGAGTCTAGCTTATGAGTCTTGGGAGCAGTTGGGCAGTTCTGCTTATCTTGGCCAAGCTTAGCTGATCTCTGATGGGCTCACTTACATGTTGTAGTCAGTTGAGGGCCGCCTGGGGCCTGACTGGTCTAGAAGACCTTTACCGTCAGATCTGAAAGTTGGCTACTTGTTATAGGGTGTCCAGAGTTCTCAACCATCTTCTGGCAGCTAGCTTGAATTTTTTCACAAGCCAACATCATGGGTCCAAGAGACAGAGAAACCCTCAGTGTCTTTTGAGGCCTAGGTTTGGAACTGGCACATCACATCTGCCATATTCTGTTGGCCAAAGTGAGCCCTGCTTCAAGAATTAAGGAGCTAGATTACATCTCTTGATGGGAATTGCTGCAGAGTGACACTACAAAGTCACAAAGTCACGGTGGGGGGTGGAGGATTGGGGCCAATTTTGTAACCTACAGCAAGGTGACAAAAAATCTCATGTTTTTGATTTAAAACAGTACCTGTTGCACAGGGAGTGTTTTATGTGTTTCAGTCCCATTGTGCCTGAGGTTTCTTGTCTGTGAAATGGGGATGGTTGTAGTACTCATTTCATGGGGTTGCTATGACAATGACATGAGTTAGGGAGCATGCCCAGGGTCATGTGGCTGGTAGGTGTAGAGGCTCCGGTACTCAGTGCAGTGCAGTGATTGTCTTACTCTTTCCTGTCATCCATGTGGGGACTTGCCCAGGACCTGGCATAGAGCAGGCCCTTCTAAACAGAAATCTAACTGGATGAGTATATGCATCTGTGTCATAACCAAAAAGGAAATATCTGAGAAGTTGCAGAATATCTTCCCACCCCGCATGTTTTTGTTATTTAACAGCAAACAATTTATCAGTGATAGTCTCTGGCAAAGACAAATTGTCTTGGAGAAATATGAGATGAGGACTTCTTCATCCTGAGAAGGAAAAGATGGAGCCCTCAGCTCCCTTTGGCCCCATGTTTTCTCCACTTTAGTGACTATGTCAGCCTCCCTATAAAGTCTTCCTGTGTCATTGCAGTCCAAACTAACATCTGCTTTCAAGGTTTTGTAGAGCTAATTACTTTTTCTTTCATTTTTCTCTCTTCCTTTTCTTCTTTTAGTTATTTATCCAGGTGTTCCACTCATCGATCTCCCTATTAATCTTCTTTCATCCTCATTATTTCTTCCCTCCACTAATCTACCTCTTACCCATCTATTCAGTCTATTACTCAACCATCCATCATCCATCCATCTATCCATCTATCATCTATCCATCATCCATCCATCCGTCTGTCCGTCCATCCATCCATCCATACTTCCATCCGTCCATCCATCCATACATCCATTCATCCATCTATCCATCCATCCATCATCTATCCATCATCCATCCGTCTGTCCATCCATCCATCCATCCATCTATCTATCTGTCCCTCTGTTCATCTGTCCATCCATTCTTTTGTCTCAGTTGGTTTGGGCTGCTATAACAAAAGTACCACATAGATTGGGTGACTTAAACAACAAACATTTCACAGTTCTGGAGTCTGAGAAGTTCAAGATTTGTATGCCAGCAGGGTCCAGGTGTTCTTAAATTGTGGCGAGAAAGCTGTTGCACGTCTCTTCTTATGGGGCATTACTTCATCATGAAAATTCCACCCTCATGACCTAATTACTTAATACTATCCATTTGAGGGTTAGGGTCTTAACTTGTGAATTTAACACCGTAATACCATCCATTCATCCATTCTTTCCTCTATTCTCGTAAGGCCTCAGTGAAAAAGTCTGTATTCTAGACTTGTTTGAATAAGGGTTCTCATCGGGGAACTTCATGGCGGTAGTTAGGTTAGGCATTTGGGGGAAAAGATACAGAAGAGGAGACAACATATTTGTCTGAACTCTGTGTGTGTGTTAATGTCAAGTTCAGGGGGTAGTTATATATGCTATGATCAGCATAAATGTAGAAAATCGTAGGCATGGATATATATTCCCCTATTAATTACAGCCCAGTAAGATAAGCACATTGATTACATGTTTCTTCAATTTGACTTTAATCCCCATAAGCACAAAAACTATGCCTGTCTTTTCCAGTAGTTTGCAGTGTCTGGCATATGTAATACTAAATAATTAATATTTATTGAATAAAGAATGCAGGATTTGTTATCTGTCACAGAAAGAGTTTTAGAAAATAAAAGAATGCAGAATTTGTGAATAACTTAGATCCCACTTCTGAGAAAAGCACTGGGGATGATTCAGCAAGGTCCCATGTGAGCTGGAGGAAGATCCTTGGTCGGGAGTGGGAGTAAAGTTGCTCTTTCTCTCCTCTACGGAGCATACGTATTTCACTGTGGGTGGGGAAGGTGACTTGGGGCTACATGATGACTTTTATGGTTAAAATTTACAACTGCTTTGCTATAAAGACAAATATATAACATTATGCATTTTCTTCAACTTAAACATTCATTTTTTTCTTCTAATTAAAACAAACAAACAAACTTGTGTGCCCCTAAGTGTGCGCCCATTGTGTCTAATGGATACCTGGTCCCTTGTGTGGCAGAGCAGTAACCCACCTGCTGCAGCAGGAATCCAGGGCTGTCCAGAAGCAGAAGCAGGCACCAACAATAACCAGTTTTCTCACTTCTGTATTTTTTTTTTTTTTTGAGACGGAGTTTCACTCTTGTTACCCAGGCTGGAGTGCAATGGCATGACCTCAGCTCACCGCAACCTCCGCCTCCTAGGTTCAGGCAAATTCTCCTGCCTCAGTCTCCTAAGCAGCTGGGATTACAGGCACGCGCCACCGTGCCCAGCCAATTTTTTTTTTTTGCATTTTTAGTAGAGACGGGGTTTCACCATGCGGACCAGGATGGTCTCAATCTGCTGAACTCGTGATCCACCCGCCTCGGCCTCCCAAAGTGCTGGGATTACAGGCTTGAGCCACCGCGCCCGGCCCGCTTCTGTATTTTTTTTAAGAGTCTCACTGTGTTGAGGCTAGAGTGGAGTGGCACAATTTTGGCTCACTGCAACCCCTGCCACCTGAGCTCAAGCAGTCCTCCCATGTCAGACCCTTGAGTAGCTGGGACCTCGGGCACAGGCCACCACACCCAGCCAATTTGTGTATTTTTTGTAAAGATGGGGTTTCACCATGTTGTCCAGGCTTGTTTCGAACTCCTGAGCTCAAGTGATTCACCCTCTTTGGCTTCCCAAACTACTGGGATTACAGGCAGAGACACCACTTTTGGCCACTCTTATTTATTCTATTGAGAAAAATAGATTATTTCAAGACAGCCTTCACTTTCCCACAGTAAGCACCCCATCTTTATTAATACTCGGCCAGATTTTCCAAGTAATAACATTAGCTGACGATGATGATGGTGAAGATGATAATGATCAGGTTTTTCCTATTGTATCAGACACCGTGCGAAGTGCATTTTCCAGACCTTTCATTGTTGTTGGGGAACTTCAGAACGTCAGCGTGCATAAAAGTGTGGATTTGACTGGAGAAGAATTGTTCCTCTGTGATCCTTGCCCACCCAGCACCCAGCTCTTCTTTCCTTGGAACAGCGCTGCCACGTCTCTTTCTCGAACCTTCCTCACTCGCTGAGGAGCATCTTGGTGAGACTGTTAACCTGGTATGGCATATGACTCAAACATGGACAATTGCACCTATTTCCTTGGGACTTTCAGTCTTGAGGGGAGAATGCTAGATTGCAAAACATCATACTAAAAAAAAAAACTAAAAAATTGTAGAGAATGCAGAAAAGAATGGATGCAGAGGGTTCTGTTATTGGAATGAACTCTGACAGAGTGTCAACTATTTTCTACCACCCAACACGCTGCATAGTTCCCATGCTAAATTTAACCTGCTCAGCTGATCCTTTAGTTAACGTTAAGTAGAAGAAGAACTTGTTGGAAGGATAGTGAGTTGCCCAGAGCCCGTTTTCTTTGTTTGTAATCAGACAACCTTGACGGATACCGCCCTTAAAGAAGCACAGTTGTAGTGGCTGGAAGTGTAGGGTGTGCTTTACTATTTAACAACGAAAGCTGAAACCTTGCAGGCTCTGCGCCTAAGATCCCATTGAGTCAGAGAAAAGTTCTGCAGCAAACCTCCTGAGATAACTCCCCGGAACAGGAAGATAACTTCAAAGCTTAGTTTATTTCCATACAAATTGAATTTTAAGTTCTTATCAGGGTAACAGAAACAAAAAATCATGTCATACAGACACATTTGGGGTAGCCTGGTTAATTCCTTCTTCTTTTGAAACAGCTACATTATCAAGATGATGCTTCACTGCCTGTTAGACTCGCTTCTGCTTGGAAGCAGATGAATCGATTTTGAACTTCTTCTGTGATATGCTTAGTGCTTTGTCAGTAAAATTACTGTAATATCTTATACCATCTGTCATATTCCCTTCCCCCAACAGGAGCCATCTCCAGCCACTAAGTTCTCAGGCTGAATTTCAATCTTCAGCGTGATCACTATGCAAGCCTGCATTCTGTGGTGCTCTGCTGGCCCCGGCTGGGGACAGGGGCGAGAAGTGGGTAGTGGCCCGGTTTTTAATTTTCACACTCAGAGAAGAACCATGAGCCTGAATGGTTCCTGGGCTGGAGCATTGATGAACTGAGGTGGTTCTTTGCAAATATCCCTGTCCTTAGAGGCCTAATAAAATGTAAGGGGGTATCAAAAAACTGAGCAATTAAAGACAAACAATATTGAAAAAATCACAATTAATGCAAAATCCATAATGAACCAAATCTCACATATTTAAATAAAGTTGGCATCAGCGACAGCACTGTGCTGAGCCATATTGGCCCCTAGGCAGAAGGAACAGTCTGTGAGCTGCTCCCTGTGCCCCTGCCTGATCTTTCTCTGCCCTTTTCCCACTGCAGCACTGGAGCTTCCAGCTCTGTTTAACCCGCAGACCTGGACTGGCACAGGTGGCTCAGAGGTGGTCTTTGACGGCAAGCCCTCTGAGGCTTTGTACCACTGTGGATGCTCCACCTCATTTATAAATGCTAGTTGAACTAGATAAGAAATACTGAGTTAATTTCATTTTTTTTCCCTTTACATTTTAAATACATGAAGAGACCAAAATGACGTTTGAGTATGGCTGTTGAGACAGGTGTAATTTAGTTCTTGTTCCCATTTGGGTATCTACCTCTTACTCTGGCGTTTTAAAGGTTTCTCTTTGTCCTTAATATTCCCAAATATTAATGTAATATTTCTGAAACTCTTGGCCTCAAGTGATCCTCCCACCTCGGCCTCCCAGAGTGCTGGGGTTACAGACATGAGCCACCACAGTGGGCCTATATTTTCCTACATGAATTTTTAAAAATCTTTGCTTTTTGGCACTCTGTGAGTTCTGTTGATATGTCATCATAGAGTCTTGAATATTTCCTTTGTTCTTGGAATTTTTCAGTCTTTTTTTTCAGAACGTATTCCATCTTCTCTATTTCTTTTGTCTCCCCAGGGAGGTCTTCTGTTCTATGTATATTGATTCTTCTAATTCTCTGCTCTACATCTTGTAATTTTTACTTTTTTCTTCACTATCCCTTTTCTAAGAGTTTAAGTCAGTGGTTCTGAAACTTGGCTGCACATTAAAATTACCAGGGGAATGTTTACAACTTCATACCCCAAGCTACTTACTTAAAGCTCTCTGGCCATGAGGTCCCAAGCCTAAGTGCTTTTTAAAGCTCTCGGATCACTCCAGTGTGCAGTCAAGGCTGAGAATCACATCACTGCTTCTCAGACTTGACTGTGCATACACTTCACCCAGAAGTGTTAAAGGCACATTCTGACTGAGGCAGTCTGGGATGAGTTCCCAGGGGATGCAGATGCTGCTGATCCATGGGTCTTATTTTGAACAAACACACAGCCTTCTGACTCACTGCCCATCCACTATACCATCAACCGGTCTATTAGCTATATATTTCCATCATTCTCATTTGCATTCTCTGAATTCCTAGTTAGGTCTTGTTTATAATGGCTTAGTCAGTAGCCCTTCATATAATTTTGTGTTATTATGCTTGTTATAAATTCTTACTCTGAATGTCAAAGGTAAACAAAGGTGGACACTGGTTAAAGTGGTGAGGCCAGATTTTAATCAGTATTAACTATTGCAACAGGGAAAAGAGTTTCTCAGGAACTGAACTCTTCTTTGCTTTGTGCTGCGGGAAACAGGTGTTTTAAAGAGAGAAGGGGAGCAGGGATGGGAAAGCAGAAGCTTAGCCAAGTTAGGGAAGTGAAAAATGCAGAGACTTTGTGTAAATGCGACTAGGGCAGCTGTGGCTGAGGCTGAGGCTGGCAGTTATTGAGGTAGGATCCTGTCCTCCCTTAGAGAGCAGGAGACAGAGGCCCTATATTGTCTTCAGGTGTTGGCTGGAAAAAAAAACAGTAAATCTTTTTGGCAGCCTTGAGTTTTCTCCAGCAGGCACTTTAAGCAGGCCCAGGGTCATCCTAGGGATATGGCCTTGAGCCGTTAGAAACCCTGCGACGGGGCTGGGTGTGGTGGCTCACACCTGTAATCCCAGCACTTTGGGAGGCTGAGGCTGGAGGATCTCCTGAGATCAGGAGTTCAAGACTAGTGTGGCCAACATGGCAAAATCTTGTCTCTATTAAAAATACAAAAATTCACCGGTTGTGGTGGTGGGCACCTGTAATCTCAGCTAGTAGGGAGGCTGAGGCAGGAGAATCACTTGAACCCAAGGAGGTGGAGGTTGCAGGGAGCCGAGACTGTGCCATTACACTCCAACCTGGGAGACTGAGCAAAACTCCATCTCAGAGAGAGAGAGAGAGAGAGAGGAAGAAGAAGAAGAGGGGGGGAGGCGGAGTGGGAGGGAGGAAAGGAAATGAAATGAAACGAAACCCTGTGATGGGAGAAGGAATGGACTAGGGGCAGGGGATTTAGGAGGAGAAGGGGTGGTGCTCTGTGGTAGAGATGCTGCTGGTGTGACCCAGCCTCAACAGCTGCATTCTCCCTCTGACTTCCCACCTTACTTTATAAAAGTCTTGGCACTTTTGCCCTAGCCCATCTCTGTTTCAAGAGCTGTCATTTATGGCTATAATCATGCAAACCTGTGGAGTGGGAGGGAGGTGGGCTGAGGAAGTGGGCCTGCAGTGTACCTGCATCTGGCTCTACCTCCTCCCACCCAGCCAGGCTTCTTGTCATGAATGCCTCACTACTGCTGCTGCGAGACAGAAAATATCCCAGCAAGAGCAAATGGGCAGGCACAGACGGCCCAGGGAAAGGCTGGGGAGAAAAGCAGCTGTCCCTAACCTTTCCCTGAAAGTGATACCTGGCCCTTTGGGCTGCTGTCTCTCTCGGGACCCAAACTCCTGCATTTCCTGGATGTCTCTCAGTTTCTCCTTCAGTGTTTCAGGTCCATCAACCCTAGTCTCACAGCATCTGCAGATGTAGTTTCAGGTAGAGGAGCCAGAAGCCTGCATGAGGTCCCCAACCCATCAGGATTTCCCAGGGACATGTCTCCATGTGCGCCCAGCCTGACTTGGTAAAGTCAGCATGCACAGGAGTCACCACAGCCATAGTCCCAACTGTTGCCACCAGCCCTGGAAACAATAGTGACAGCAACAATGGCGGTTTGGCCTCCACTTTCATGGAGCTTACAGATGGATCAGAGAGGCAGCCAGGCAATTGTGATCACATGTAGGAGGGTGTTACTGGAACACAGAGTAGGGGCCCGAGTCCTGGGTGTGTGCACATGCGTGTGTGGATAGTTGTTGTGAATGTCAAGGAAGACCTGCCTGAAAAGGGGGGCATCACAGCTCATGCCTGAAGGATGATTTACAGGGGACTCTTCTAGGTAAGGAAAATCGCACAGGAGGTAAGAAAGAGCACAGTTTGGAAAACCAGAAGGAGTAGGCTGGGCCAGGATTTGAGTGTGGCAGTGGGACATGTGACATCAGGGCAGATCATGTGTTTATTTTAACTTCCAGTATTGTGTTAACTGTGGATCTTTTGCATTAACTTTGATTTTTTTTAAAGTACTGCATTAAAATAGTATTTGTCTTGATCACTGAGTTTTTTTGTTGCCCCTTTTAGTTTTGCCCCTGAGGCGAGTGCTTTCCTTGCCTTACCCTAATCCTGGTAGTTGGACATGGCTGCAGTATAAATTTCAGAGAGGGGCAAGTGAGGAAAGATGAGGCTGGCAGGTGGAGCAGAGGCCAGGAGATGAGGGCCTGCATGCCTTGCTAAAGGTTTGGGACTTGACTGGGTGTGGTAGCTCATGTCTGTAATCCCCGTACTTTGAGAGGCTAAGGCAGGAGTATCACTTGAGCCAGGAGTTCGAGACTGGTCTGGACAAATTGGTAAAACCCTGCCTCTATAAAAAATAAAAAAAATTAGCCAGGCATGGTGGTGTACACATATAGCTCTAGCTGCTCAGGAGGCTGAGGCGGGAGGATCACTGGCGCCACAGAGGGCTGTGATTCTGCCACTGCACTACAGCCTGGTGACAAGTGAGACCCTGTCTCAGAAAAAGAAAAAAAGTATTTTGACTTTTTATCTCAACTCTGCTGAAAGTTCCAGTGGTAATATATGGCTGCCCTTGAAGTTCAATTTGACTGTGCAAAAACCAGGTTGGTTGTGAGTGATTGGAGGGAGCAGCCTAGAGAAAAATGCTTTCCTCTTCCAACTCCCTCCAAAGCGGGCATTTGCTCCACACTCAGGCAGCCCAGTTGTCTGGGCTTGGATGTCTCAGCTCCCGCCAGAACCCATGAGTTGATCTTCTCGCCACCCATTCGCCTACAATGTGCAGCAGGTGGATGCAAGACTAGCTCATTGATTAACAGGTCGTTGAGACCCATCTTTCCCATCCTGCATTCTCTGTTGCAAAGGGCCTGTTAAAAGAATATCAGTGACATTGTCAGTGTAGCAATCAGGATCTTCTGGGGGAACCGAAGCTTTGAGAATCAATAAAACATTAAAAAAGGTTAATAAACACTTTACTGGATAAGTCAGAACATAGTCCTTAGTTAATGATACAGCTTTGAGAGAAAAGGGAATATGAAAGACAAGACAATATCACTTTGTAATGGGGAAACACTGCATGAAAAAGATTATTTCCTCAGTCCAATTCTTGGATTCAGTGTGTGCACTTGTGAGGACTGCAGGTGGAATAGTGGGATGAGGCCTCTGTGGGGAGGTAGCGAGGAGGCTGGGAGAGAAGAATGCTGGGCGGACTCCAGTGCTTTCACAGCCCGTGGGACCCCAGGCAAACCACTCAATTACTTTGAGCCTCAGTTTCTTCAGCTTATAGATTCTGCTGCCTTATGCCGCTGTTTTGAAGATCTGATGAAATAAAGGGTCTCAGGTGTCAAATCCACTTTAGAGTTTTTGTCTGTAATCACAGTGAGTAGTAATCTTAGGGCGGAGCCTCTGCCTGTGCAGAGGAATTAGAGGAAAACCCTGTGCGGTGACCCAGCTGCAGCAGTGGGGGCTCCTCCCCCAGCACCGGGACCAGACTCTCAGTGGATAGGAATTGCTGCTTCCACGCATGTTCAATAAGACTCCTGTGAATTCCTTATGTATTTCCAACTTTGGAACCTTCCTTACCCACTGAAGTCCTTCTCTTCTCTTTCCACTTCTGATTATGGTTTGCAAACCTCACCCATCCTTGGGGCCAGTTAAGGCATGGGAGTGGGCTATGCCCCTGCCCGTCTCTCCCAGCACGACGAAGCTGGGAGGGGCTGGTAACTGTAGATGCCTGATGGAACTGTCAAAATGATATTTTAGTGGCATTAATTGGGAAATGTAAGTTTTTATCTCTGACTTCTACATGTGTGAAGTAAACATATTGTAGTGGTATCTATCCTATTAAATCTCGCCAACCCCTTGCCAATAGCAAAATATATTAGAAATATATTATAAAATATATTAGAAAATAAGACTAAAAAAACCCTGTGGGCATGTTGGAAAAACCTCAACATCAGCAAGAACTTCATTTATGCCCTCAGAAGCACCTTCCTCTCCCAGAGTATTCATCCTGTAATCCTGTGAGGGTTGAGTCTCCATGCTATCCCACCTCCTCCAGGAAACCCTTCATGACAATTCCAGCCCGCAGTGGCTTGTGGACTCTTCAGGCACTTGTTGTTTTTATTTCACAATTTAGCCTTAAAGATAATTCTGAATGAATCTAGTAGCTGTGCAAGCAACAGTCTTAGTTTTGTAAGGAGACTGAGTTCTCCAAAGGCAGGACTGCATCTTCTCTCAAAAAGCCTGAGATAAGCCAGGCCAGGCCTCTCTAAGCACATGTAAACTGATGTCCTGAAAGGGTCACAAGCTTCCAGTGGCTTTCCATTTAAAGAAGGTTCTGGAATTAGAGCTCCTTTTCTAGTAGTTCCTATCACTCTGGGAATGCTGAGTGGCCTTGGCCTGCCGGTGCCGTTGAAGAGGCTGCCTCCAGTGTGGGAAGACAAATAGGGACATGGAGAGGCACCTGAGCTCCTGCCCTAACAGGACAAAACAGAAGAACCAGGACTGAAGTGGCAGAGCAGAGAGCGGGAAGGAGCACTTAAGAAGCGTCTCATTCTCAGGGAAGAAGGACTTAGAGATGGGTCATCTGCGCAGGTGGGATGGGCCTCTGGGACAAGCCTCTGGGACACTGCTCAGCTATGCATTTGCTTCTGACTTAGGTCTCGCTGGGACCCCTGGTTTGGGTTACTTGTTCAAAGGCAAGGCAGGCTACCACCAGGGGGTGGGGTGCATTTATGCATTCAGAGAACACAAGGTGTGCAAGAGTGAGAAAAAACCAGAGTGCCTGCTGTGGTGGGGCTCACATTCCAGTGTTGTTGGGGCCAGAGGGAGCAAATAAGCAGGGAAAAATGAAACAATCTTGGAGAGCTAAGAAGGAAACAGGAGACTGGTGTTACTGTGATTGGAAGGTCAGCAGGCCATGGGCTGAATGACTAGAGGCTGAGTCTTTTCTTTTCAGGAGAAAGGCAGGGGGTGGCAGAGGCAGGAGAGGCAGCCTAGGCCATGTGAGATAAGAACTTGTCAGTTGTACAAGGTGCTTGGGTTTCACTCCAAGTGCAAAGGGAAGGCAGGTTGCCCTGATTGCTGAGCGGAGGAGGATGAGTCAGGTGGGTGACGATGGGGGCCGGGGCCTGGGCAACTCCCTTCCTTCTTCCCCCAACTGGACCTACCCCATCCACAGCCCCTCCCTCCCAGAGCTTTGCAGGAACTCCAGCCAGTGCGGGCTATAGAAGGCCTTGGCCGAATTGCCAAGCCCCAATTTCCAGCTTCCTCATCTAAAATAGAGCTGGCGATGGTGTCCCTTGTAGGGTGTCTGTGAAGATGAAGGCACACCTGCACCAGAGATGGGGACAAGAAGTGCCTGATGCAGTTGTGGCCACCTTCGAGTCCATCTGCACATCTGATTCTGAGATTAGGATGCACTTTACCCCTGTGTCATTTAAGGGAGAGTTGGCATGAGTTTGGAAAGCTCATCCCCAAATTAATGTCTTAGGATTGAGGAAATACAGTGTTACAGACCTAACCTACCTTTGTTTACCTCTGTTCCCTAGCCCTCCCCCTGGCTTTTGGAATCTCACTGTCCTTCTAGTCTCTCCTCTTCCTAGCAGCCCTCCCTCACTTCCTAGCCTCTAAAGAGCCACCTTTGTGTCCTGCCAGCTCAAAGAGCGCTCACCTTCTGGGCTACCCAATGTGAGATGAGTCACACAGCTGCCACTGAGCAATACCCTGAGGATCGAGCCTCATGTTCTTATGCTCTTTCCTGTCTCACACTAACCCTGAGCCCCAGGTAGAGATGGAGAGGCCTTTGCGAACCCTTACC